AAGAATTGGGATAGTCAGATTGGTCTGTGATCTAGAACATAAGAAAAAGCTGAAAACCATTCCAACGTCAATTAATGCAATACATTCCAGAACAGTTAATATTTCTTTCAACATTTTGAAGTACATCATTGAGAAATTTGCAGCCTTGAGATTCCCTATCAGTATGGAACTGAATGAAATTACAGACATCTTTCAATGTAATACTGCACGGAATACCAACTTTATCAGAAACAAGTCTATGAATCATCATAGTTTTTAAAATATATCAAGCAATAGGAAGAAAATATCAAATCTTTTTCTTTCTTTTTTTTTTAAAGGCAGTTGGGGTTAAGTGACTTGCCCAGGGTCACACAGCTAGTAAGTGTCAAGTATTCAGTCTGAGGAGGAATTTGAACTCAGGTCCTCCTAACTTCTGGGCCGGTGCTCTATCCACTGCGCCACCTAGCTGCCCCAAGTCTTTCTATACCACACAGAAGTTTGCTGGCTTTGAAGATGACAAGTAACTTGTTTAATGCTTGTTTAAATGAAGGAAACAAGTTTCACTTTTTCTGAAAGATAAATAAAATCTGATCTTGGAACACTTTGAAAGAAAGGATTTTATCCATTAATTGGCTTACCTGGCAGGTATTTTTAACTATATGAATGAGAGAAATTTTTTGACTCAAAGTCTTAAAAATCACCATTATGGATGCTACTAAAAAAATTACAACTTTCTTGGCTAAGCTGCCAATATGGTAGCAAAAACTAGAGTCAGAGATCTTTGAAACTTTAAAATGATGAAGGAAGTACTCTATCAAGATGCAGATGAGATATAAAATTCCTTATCAATTTCACTGAAAAGAGAAATCTGTTCCTAAAAAAAATTTTTTTAATTAAAAAAAGAGAAATCCGAAAACATCTAAAAACATTTTAGAACTCTTTCAAAAGTTATTTTTATCTTGGTGTCATTAAAGCTGAATCACAGTCCTTTTCTTCCTGATATGATGATAACCTATCCAAAGACAAAGTTATTGGTCACTGGATAAAAATTTACTATAACTGGAGTTTACTTTAAAAAACTTTGTAAAATTTTGGTGCTCCTCGACAGAGATTTGTCCTCGACCTAGAAAGCAAACTATTGAAAAAGCTTCAATCTGCAACAATATATCTTTGCAAATCAGGATTTTTTTAACCCATGTAATCATAAAAACAAAATACTTGTCAAACAATACAATTTAACATTCTTATACAAGCTAAGCAACAATAGCTTTCACAAAAAAAGATAAAAAATAAATTTAACTTTAACATCTATATTTAAATGCATTGTCTATTTAATGCCTTAATAAACATATCTGAACACAAATTAGTTTTGAATATTTTATTACTATTTCAATATAACTTGTTTCTTTTGTAATTCTACATATTTTATTTTGTGTTTTAAAATAATTCATAGGAAAAGGGGTCCAGATGCCTCAAAAAGCTCCTTTGGTGTCAGACCTACAACACCAAAGAGTTTTTAAAAAACCTTGCTGTTCAGGACTGGTCTGACAAATCCTAACCCATTAGGTGATAAAAAGATTCCAAAAAGCACTAGAGGTCTTAGCCTGACCAGTTTCCAAAGAACTCACTGCTTCTGCCTATTTTCAACAATGTCTTTATCTTCTTCCTTACTTCTTATCAGGAAGTATATCTTCGCAGCTATCCTAATTAGGGTGGAAGGGAAGAGAATAATTTTATTTAAAGAGCACCTACTATGTTCCGGGCACTGTGCTTAGAGCTTTGCAAATATTATTTCATTTGATCATTTAATTAAACTCTTAAAGTTTGATCTTGCTTATTCATATAATCCCAAAGTATGAGGACCTCAGAGTTATCTAATCCAAACTATTCTTGAATATAATTTCCTCTACAACATTCCTGACAAAAAGTCATCCAATCTCCCCTTAAAGGCTTTCAGTGATTGGAAACTCATTATCTCCTGAAGCAACTCAGTTCATTTTGGGACCTCTCTAATTGTTAGAAAGTTTTACCTTCTATGGTGCCAAATTTTGTCTCTAATTTTTATCAGCTACATTCTGCTTTCTGAGGCCCAAGAAGAACAAATCTATTTCCTCTTCCATATGACAGGCCTTGAAAAATTCCCTCTCCCCTTTCACTTTTCCATGGAAAACATCCTGAGTTCCTTTGTCAGAATCCTCATGTGACATGTTTCTAGTTCCTCTAAGATAGGTATTCTTAACCTGGGATTCATGGATCCCTTGGAGGTCCACGAAGAGATTTCAGGAGATCTGTGAACTTACATAAGAGGGGGGAAAAAAAATCACATCTTTATTTCAATATAACTGGTTTCCTTTGTAATCCTGTATATTTTATTTTGTGCATTTAAAAAACATTATTATGAGAAAGGGTCCACACATCCAACTGCCAAAGGGGCTATGTAACATAAAAACTGTTTAAGTTTAAAAAAAGTTAAGAACACCTGCACTAAGAGGAAATCTGGCTTTTTGCTTCCCTTTTCTTTCCAGGTCAAAACAGAAAAAGAGAAAAATATTACAGCTATATGACATAACTTTCATGACTGATTTCTCCATGACTTATTTTTTTAATCAGAAAAATACCTCTTCAGTAATCAGGTTACTAACTCACTTTAAACTTCACCTAACACCTTCCTTTTTCAATGCCTAATTTCTACTGAAATGGTTATTCTGTCAACTGTTTTATAAGCTGCTTTTACCCTTCTCTCTGCTTTTGAACATTTAAAACTAAATCTGAACAAACTGAATGAATCATCCAGAATGTACAGCAGTTTCCTCTAGTTAAACAGTTAAACGCTAATGAAAGACACTGGATAGTATACAAATACAAAAAATTCATCTCACCTGCAGAAATGGTAGACAGTATATTAGCTCTGAAGCTACTGCTGAATTGCAGGTTGCTGCCTTTCACTGCAATAGAAAGCTATGGGGATGAAGACTGGTTCATGACTTGCTGAGCAATTAAATTGATTGTGAGAGAGTAACTGGGCCTATGGGATAGAAAGAAGGGAAATCTACTGACAAACAGGGTCAAATATATTAGAGATGCTCAATGTAACAATGGCTGTCAAAAGTGTGATCCAAACCAATCCAGAGAAGAAGACACGGTGAGTCACAGTGTACTGTGAAGGAAGCAGATGAAGACAGCACAAAGTGAGGATATCAAGGAAATGGGAAGCTTCTTAGAATATTGGTGTCAAAAGTAATTGAAAAATTCTGCAAGGCAGATTATGTGGGCAACACAGGGATTTCACAGGACAGCTAAGCATAGGAACAGGCCTATCCTGACAAGGACAAGCTTTCCTGATCTTAGAGGAACCCCTCTTTCTATAGATCCTTGAGATATGGCAGGACAGCATTTTTCACTTAAACTATCTTCTGGATAATGGACACATCTTAGGGGCAAATGGAGAATTCCTTAAAACCATGAGGCATAATCCCCTCTTATAGAATTTTCATTTTTCTGGCTCTTCCCACCCCTTTCCCTCTACCCCCAACCCTTTTCAAATACCAAATAAATGTTTTGTGTGTGTGTGTGTGTGTGTGTGTGTGTGTGTGTGTGTGT